AAGTTTATTCTTCATATTTGTATACAGTAGATTTATTTTTGTATTGTTCCTATTTCCAGCAAAATTGAATTTGAAAATCGGGTAAAGTGCGACAAACATATTGGTTACGTACGTGTTGGTTACGATCGGGAGTTAGCATTCGTTCGTACTCGTTGAGGACGATGGTAGGTACTACGTTTTTAGTATTTACGTTTGTAGAATGCAAACCATTTACATCGAAACGACTCTGAATGCTATTTCTACGAGAGATACGCCAATAGAGTCGTTTCGGTGGTAGCATACCGCCCTTCACTTAACGTTGTTAGAACATAACTGTAAGTTTTATATGTATATATATATATGAAACGAGAGCAATAATATATAAAAAAGATTGCAAGAAGAATCCATATATAATTAGTATATAATGCGTCAATATATTTATCTTGTTGGTCAAATAAACGTTTGCTTTAGAAATTGGAGTATTCGAGCTCCTTGTTTACATTATAATACGGAAATATCTAATGTTTAATCGAGCAACAGCATATGAGAAAAGATTTTGCTAAAGTATTTAAAATTTTAACTAGACAAATCTGTAAATAATTTTGTTGAATCATCAAAATAATTGGATACTCAAACTGGTTTGCTGGAGTGTCGAAACTTTGTGCAGTATCATCATGTTTGAGATTCTTATAAAATTATTTGAATGATTTAACAAAATTATTTTTAGATCTATATCTAGCTAAATTCTTAGATATTTCAGTAAAATCGTTTTTTCCGTATAAATCTCACAATATACTTTATATTAATAATAATTTGCAGTTGATTTTTCCTTAATAAAAATATTGATAGCGTAAAAAACTTAGTGATTATTTTGTAATACGTACGTGTAGTGAATATATAAAGCATGTTGTGTAGCAAAATACAGGTACTTTGATTTCATATTCTTTATTTAGTTTGTTGTCTTGTATATCCCATATGTATGTTTAGGATATGCGGCATTTTTAGTGAGCGATTTATGTCCAAAACATACAAAGTGCGCATTGAATTCAATGCAATAAACGCATTATATGAAATATGTACCTCATGTCATAACACTTCTAATATATGTAGGAAGATTAAAATTATTATTTATTACTTCATATATATATATATATTTAATATTCTTATAGCTTAATAAAACTTTATAAACACATTTTATAAATTGTATCATTATACGTCTTATTTATATGCATTATTTGTAAATTTTTCATGAGCCGTATCTCCTCTCCTTCTATGAATAGCCATATATCTCACCCTTATGGAATATACTGCAAAAATGCAATGGTTTCAAAAAAATTTATTTTTTAATATGAAAAATAAAAATTTCGGATTTCTAATATTTTTTTCATAATAGTACAAAATTTTTATTGATATAGTTCGTTTACTATATATAGTAAATAAATATATATAATATATAATACTTAATAAATTTTAAGTTTTTAATAGGTGTACCGGAGTTATCCTATTCTCATCTAATACTGAGTGATCGTATATTATTCAATTATATGATACATGTCTTATGATGCAAAACGATATAACATGTTAATTGCATGAATTGAACTTAATTCTTGGATATGATCAAACGGAAACAAGAGCGAATTTTCAATTTGTACGATGTGTCTAATACCGCACCATGTGCGGTAAAAAATTTTTCGGACGACTTAGCGTCATGATTCTTAAAGCTTCATTTGTGATGTCAGCGAATGTAATTCAGTTACCGGCATAGAAAGCGGCTGTATTGAAAACTAGGCTATTCTGTCGGTCCTGGATATTGGATTCGTTCATGCGACAAACTGATTGCAGTTAAAACGACGGACTCGCTGAAATAAATGAAAACGATTTCGTTTATGAATGATAGTACATATAGATATTTTCAGCAATTTAATTAACCACTTCGATACTGTCATAGTTATATAGTTATTAAGAGCTGTTAAGTTGAAACATGACAACATAATAAAGTTGCATATCACGTGATTCGTGCAAATTAATATTAGATATTTTTTTCGAATTTTTCGAAAAAATTAAATTGCTGAAAATATCTATAACATCTCGCGTATTATTGTCATAATTAATAAATGTCAATTTTGTTTTTATGTATTAACAGGTGCAGTCTTAATGATGTGTAGTGTTACGAATTGTGAAAGAAAAACTGCAAAAAAAAGAAATTAATCTGCAAACAATAGGATGAGAAAACATAACGATAATATGTGTATAACTATTTTTTTTATTATTACAATTGCAAAATAGTAAATGGTGCTATTGCATAGGCACGAATGATTGAATATCCTCGTACATCAATATTTTCCGCGGCACTCGATGGGAACAAAGCATGATCTCCGGCGGCTGCTTCATCTCGCGCGAAAGCTGAAAACGATCGCGCGGGAAAACACGCTTCGCCGACACCTGTCACGAGCACCGATGATCCTCTCCGTCGCTCACCTCTCATTTTCAGCCGATTTCTCGTATTTCGAGTACTTTCCGCGTAGTCCTGGTCATCGTGCGTTTTCACGCGTCCTCCGGACTGATTGGAACTGACGTTCTTCGTGGCGACAGAATAAAACAAAAATTCGCACGATCGCGTTCGACTATGGGAGGCCTATTGTGGAATTGCTCGAATGCTATCATCCTGCATTTACAGCGACGTAAAAAGTAATCATTCCACGTCACGTACGCATATACACATGGGAATTATTCATCGTACGTTTGACGTTTTCACGATATTGTAGCAGTATTTCGTGTAAAAAATTTCGATAAACAACTTCATAATTATACAACATGACACATTATAATCTTGATATTTTCATTATTTTAATTGGTTTAGTCAATTAATGAATATTTCAATTCGCTGTTAATTAATTAAATACATTTTATTTTATTTGTTTTAATTAAATGGATTTATTATCTGTCGATAATATGAAGGTGATGTCATAATAGGCACAACAATTTACGCGGAAGTATGATGATAGTATCAACGTGAAATTTAGGGCATGTCGAAATATGGTTCATTGATTTTATGTCAAAATGGTGATGATCACATAATTGCGTATCTATTTCGGATATGTTATTTACTTCGAGTGTCGCAATGTCGATTGGCAGTGTGCATTAAAGCGGATATCGATAATGTATCGCTTTTAAAATGATACGATGGTACCGATGTTACAAATTATTCCACGCCGTAGTATCAAATTTGTGTTCATTAAATTATGTTAATTATGTTAATAACGATCGTATATATCCAGGATATATATATATATACATTTTTTGTTATATACACCTTTAATCATATATGAACCGAATTCCCCAACGATCTTTTAAAAACATAACAGCACGTATTTATGAACAACCAAGAACTATTATGGGGTATATTCTTTGATAAAGCATGCATTACATCTAAAATATGATGTAATGACACCGATACATTGTCAGTGAATACACACGCACATATTTGTGTGTGTATGTGTGTAAACACACACATAAATATATTTAAGTACAAATAATCGGACCTTATATAACTTAATTTTCATGATATGACTACTGTTTGTGTAATTACATGTGAATTCAACAGATAGCATCATTAAGTCATGCAGGCTGTTTGATTCAATTGCATCAGTTTATTGTTCAGTTTGTTCATTTCTGTTATTGTCAGTAAAGCAAAATGGAGAACATGATGTAATATCTAGATCATGATGTAATATTTCATAGATAAATAATTGCTTTCTATAACTAAGAGATGATTATTAATTTCCGTAGTACATATTATTATAGCTCTGTATTCATACTTTACAACACTGTATTTAGTTTATATTTTCGTCACAAGGACGTTTTGTTTACAATAAAAGAGAGGAAATTCTTTGTAAGGTAGAAACAATCTGGTCAATCTAGCGCGCACTGAATGTACACGTTTTTTTCTATTTTTATTCTATGGATTTAATTTACCTGTTAAACATTGTGGAGTTAAATAAATAAGCAGTAAACGAGTAAAGAATTAGGAAATAATTCTTTGTGATGATTTATATATATATAT